CCTGCTGAAGTCCCCCACAAAACGAGCTTCTGCTTCCGTTGCTGCAGAAGGCACGTGCCTGCTCTCTCGCGTGGCCGCAGGGCTGCGGTTCCAGGAGGATGCGGTGAAGGAGCCGTTCGGTGTCCCGCCGACAGCCTGGGTCGAGACCGTGCTGAGGAGGTTGCTGCAGAAAGCGAGTGTCCATCTACTCTTAGCTCCCGTGGAGCTGCAACCCCGAGAGTCTCGCCTGGTCTCGTTAATTAAACCAAGTAACTTTAGGGTTTGTTGTTCAGAGTCTCCCTCTTGGCAACTGCTAACGAAGGGCTAATCCCAACAGTCTTGCAGAGAGTGAAATGATTTCTGTAGTTTCAGTGCGGTACTTTTACTGACGCTTGGTAGAAGCAGCTTAATAAACTGCGTAAGCGATTGGCATGCGCCGCAAACTTCGGTTTTACTCCTTGAATCTTAAAAGCATTAGATGTTTCTTCCAATTTAATATCTGCATAATGGATATGGATGGCAGGATACGCTGCTGCCAGGCAGCTCTCGGCAGCCCCTAACAAGACTTCCAGAGCAACGCTGTTTTTCCACTCGCATCATCCAGCTGGTGCCAGGCACGCCGAGCCTTGGGTTTTGCGCAAGGCACGGGTACAAGTTGGGCTTTGGCCCCGGCTTTCCCCAGCTCCGCACCCTGGGCTTTGGGCCGGCGGGTGGAACAAGGCAGTGCGTGAACGCGATGGGACTCACCTCGCTCCTGCTCCCGTCCTCGCTGGCTCTCGCCCCGCCGTAGCAGTGTGGCAGAGGAGTCCCCAGGCCTGCCTCTCTTTCTCTGTCTATTTTTCTTTTTTTTAAATCCTTTCACCAATGTTCCTCCCATTGTAAAGACCAAGATGGAAATGAATTCTTGGGCCGTCGCTTGCAGATTTCCTCCAGTTGGGGAATCGGTAGGAGAGCACCATTATCACTGAATTCCATACAGGCAGCTGTGCAAGAGAAAAACTCCCTTCCTGTTAGTGCCGGGTACAGCAATTCTTTAGCCTCCTGTGCAGTGTGTGTGCAGTCCATTTTTTGGCAGGTATTCCATGGGTGTGTTGCATTATTTCCTCTTCTACTTCACTCTGTTGTTCTCTTCTCCCAGAGACAGAGAGTTCTCTCTTCGGGTTACTCTCTGGAAATGTTTTTTCAGCTCTTGTATCTGCTTGCTGACACGGCACTTTGGTTTGCATGTTAATGTGGTTGATCTTTGCAAGAAAGCAATTTTAAATGATTGTTCAGTTATTATGTGTATGAATGAGCTGATAGATACAGGCCATTTAAAACTATGTAAAGCATCGGAATTAGAAAAACGCCTTCTACGCTCCTATCATTTTTTCCTTGTTGTAGAAGGCAACAAACAATTTACAGCTTTTAGGCTCTGACAGCTTTTAGTACTTTTCTGGATGCAGTGTAAAAGAGTTCCTTCATGCTGCCGGCCATTACCAACTCCCTGAATTTTCAGTGAGCTTGGCCTTGTGTTTCTCTCGTCGTCGGAGCTGAGCATGCGTCCCCAGCCAGGGTTGTGGGAGTTCTACGAAATGTAGAAGCAGCCCTCCGTCTCTATACTTTTCTTTTTTCACTAAATTCAGTCTTTTGCTAAAAGGGTCAGTCATGGGAGCTTACATATTTCAACCTTATGAAACAGGGGTGGTTTTTTGTCTTGCTCATGTGTTTTGAAGTTCCAGTTCTCAAATCTTCTGATTTGGGACCCTGTACCTTGTGTTATCTTCTTGTGGGCTAGAGGTACAGACTCAGTGTGTGAGGCTCCATGCAGTTTTAGCTCCTCGTAAGCAAGATACTCAGAATCAAGTCTACAATACGTCCACAAAAACTATGCAGATAACAAACATTTTGTTAGCTCAGAATTTCACAATCCTGTGTGAGAGAAATTTGAGGGGAAAAAAACGTTCCATTTGGTTGTAAATAACTGGATTTTGGGTGAGTTTTTTTGCTCCATCTCTCTGTTTTGTACAGTGTCTTAATACCAGTGCTTCGAAACAAAAATCAAAACATTTGATATTGTGCAAATGTGGGGTTTTTTTTCTTTTGCTTTCTGTGTAAGTGGAACTGCTTGGGGCAGCCCACTATCAGCACCTGGTAGAGGTTTCCTGACCGTTTCTGTTTCCACTAGAGCTTTCTCCATTGAGCCCCAACCACATGTGTTGACACATGTGTTGACTTCATCGCCCACTTCCAAAGCCAGCCTTGTTATATCACTGTTTTGGAGTATGCCTGTGATCTTGATCAAAGGGGCTTAAGTACATGTCTAAATATTTTTAAAACTTAATTTGGGGGTGGTTGGAGTGTAAAAAAAAAAGTAAAATCTATTTTCTATCATGCCCATAAAATGTAAAAAAATTCTCATGGTGTTTTCACCCTTGTCTACACTGAAGACAAAAATTGTGAGCCCCTATTGCCCATGTGGCGACACGGTGTCTTAGCCTGCAGGTCACCTGGCTGGCTCTTAAATCTGTGGAGTCACCATTGAAAAATACACAAAGAAGAAATATGGTTTTTAAATCATTTCAAACTTTCATAGAAGCTATAATGTAATGGGAGAAATAAATCCGTGCCGTGTCCTTCCCATGTAGGTAGCTCTGAATTTCTTTCAGGTGACAGCAACGCTGAAGAGAACGACCCTTCCCATTCCCCGCTTCTGCACTCCAAGGGGTTGTCTCGCCACTCGGTTTCGATGCCACATGCAGTGGCCTTGTAGTCAGCCCTGAGGCCTCAGCCTCAAGTGCTTTTTTTGTCACTCTTTAGGAAGGGTGCGTGTTTGGAGGAGTCGGAAACTTTGGAATTTGAATGCTAACACATCTCAGCTGAACGTTGCTCAATGAGGTCCTGCAGTGGTTTGTGAATACACTGGATTTTGGTGGGTGGGTTTCTGCAAGGACAGCAAGGTCATTCTGGGCAGCAGTGCTCCTCTGGGGCCTGTTGTGACACTGTGCCTATTAGATAACGCCACTATTTAAAATTCTGAAAAGAGAAATCCCGCTAAGCTTCTGAGCAGTTCTTTGTTTACATTTAAATAAGTGTAACTTCAGGTGTTATCTTCTCCCATACGTGCAGCTGAATAACTGTCAGCGTTTTCTGTTTTTGTTTATCTGGTAGAAAAGAGTGGTGGAACAGCTTCGAAAGAATTTGATAGTGAAGCAGGAACAGCCAGACAGTAAGTTTCAAATACAGCCGTTGGCACAGTCGGAAAACAAACTACAGACACCACAGCCACAACCACTACAACAGCTACAGCAACATCACCATCAACAACAGCAGCAGCAGTCTACTGCACCCTCTCCAAACGTGATTGGATCACAGGTAAAAATCTCTACAGGAATTCTTCTCCTTGCTAAAGATGAAGTTCGCTTAAAAAACAGACAGACAAAACCCCCAACAACAACAACAAAACCCAAAGAAAAGTGCAGAGAGTATATTGCAAACTTGCATTCATGCCTTTTAGTGTATCAGTATGAATTTCTCATCCTGTGCGTATGCAGGTAAGGGCCTTGTCGAGTTTTTGGCAATAACCTCCTGTCTGAGTCAAAAAAAAAAAGAAGTAAGTGTTTAAAAGTTGAATCATAACCCCACAGCAGAGTGGGCTTGTGGTATTATCTTTCTTAAAAATAAAGTTTAGCAAATGAACCTATCTTTTTCGTAGGTGCATGAATGATTGTCTGCCCATACCCAATAGATCTCAAGAAACAGTAAAGACTTTACATGCCCTGTATGAGGTGTGTGATTGAAATATTTCATTTTTAAAAGAATAACAGAGTGCCCACTGCATCTGTGAACACGATGTAAGAAACCAGTTCCCTCTTTTTTCTGCTGGTTTCTTTCTGAACAGATGGAACTCAAATCAAATAATACTTGAGTTTGTAAGGGTTTGTCTAAAAGCATACAAAGTTAATTGCAAAGTTCAAGTCTTAGCAAGTAGTGTCTTCGTTGGGAAGGTGCCCTGAATTTCAATTCAGAATAAGATTAGAGACATAATTCCAGAATTCAGCAGAGAACGTTGTCTGCTGAGAGGTGAATTCCAAGTTTCTCTGTTAAATATTTAGAATCTAAAAAGTGTGCTAATGAGACAGCTCGAAAGCGCAGAGAGGTGTTGGATAAAAAGAAGTGTACGTGGCATCTTCTTTCCTGTTGATGCAACCTCAGCAGCTCCTGTTTCCCTGGATTGGCAAACAGTAGAATTCACCCGGGAAGTTTACTTTATGCACGTTGCTTTGAATCACAACCATAGCCTTGACCCATTGGGGTTCCTGTTTCTTCCCTTTTGCTAGAAGTAGAGGGAGAAATGGTTCTCTCATTACCTCAGCAAGTCGGATGCACTGTGAAAATGTGTTTGTGAAGCTTAAGTAATTGTCTTTTTGAGAAAAGAGTATTGCAGAAATGAAGCTAAGGAAAGAAAAGACTTTTCTGAGCAGCAACATCTATATCAAAGCAGCAACATCTATGTCAAAGCTAACTAAGTTATAAATATTACTGTCTTCTAAGATATTTCTACACAAACAACGGATCATTCTGTGCTGTAGCATGATCTCTGTTTTTTGGTCAGGAAACACGACTGCAAAAGCAGTTTCATGTGTTTCACCGTATTCCACACTTTGCGTTCGTGTATTAACTTCCAGGTCATCCCCTGGGTTGTAAAAATTGAGGTTTTGCTCAAAGTTAAAGAGCCCTCTAGTGAAATAGTCAACAAACTGCTACACTCTTCTAACTGTCGTTGATACAGTTGTACTTGGAAAGTAATTGCAAACTGAAAGGAAAGTCGTCCTCTCATTTGAAAAAATAAGCCAGCTTCTGTCCTTAATGCTTTTCTGTTTTTATTTACTTTGGTATAATTCTGAAGTAACCTCACTTGCTTCACTATACATTTTGCATCTAAAGTTGTACCACTGTCCTCTTGCACCTCAATCTCTCCGCAAAGTCAAATATTTTGTGTCTCTAAAGTTTTTTGGTGCCTGTTTTTGTGAATAATACGTCTTTCAGAGCTATATCAGTAAAGAGGATGCTTTCAGTGGTTATTTTCAGAGTAATTCAATTTAGGAATTGAGGTATATGTGCTGCCTTAATAGTGACATTTTAATATACTTAATTTAGTCCAGTAAGAAGGTCTTTTTAAATGCTTGTAAAGCGCCAAACCTGAGAAAAGGTCATATTATTGCAATGTCACTGTGTGAAATAATGCAGGCTTACTATGAATGCCACTTGAGTACGAATTTGTGCATTGAAAACTCTTTAGAATAACCAAGGTAGGTGGTGCTCAGCAAAGTGACAGGGCTATTCGAGCTCTGTGACTGAAAGTACAGTCGTAGTACTTGCAGACTTACTAGAACCCCTTGAAAGAATCACAGTCTTGTATTACTTGACTGATTACGCTTTTCTTTAAAATATTTTGGCTGTATGTATGTAATGCTTGTGAAAATGATAGCACGTTACATCTCATTGGAAAACCTTGAATAATGTTCCTGAATTCCTTTGCTTTTTAGAAGGTGCAGCAGAGGTCGATAAGCCCTTGAATCTCAGATAAAAAGTTCAGGGAATTGTTCATGTTGCAGTGAGGAAAAGTTAATTATGTCTGGATTTTGTAAAAATGCGTAAGATTGAAGGATGAATTATCCTTTAATTGGGCGTTATACAGTGATTGAATTCTTTTCACACAGCATAATTAATGGGTATATAGTTCAGGCATTATGAAATAAGAGGTGTGAAAGCAAACTGTTTTTGTTTAAGGAAATACTGGAGAATCCAGCTGGAAAAATATTTGTATTATTTTATTAGAAATAAGAGAAAAGTCTCGTGTGATTAAAATCAAGCAGTCTAAAGTTTTTTCATATTCAGGAGGTGAAAAAGACTGCCTGATCCCCGGTTCTCCATTTTTTCCTGTTGTGAGCCTGGCACAGACATCAAGAGGGAGTGGCGATTATTTCATACTAAGAGCATTTGATCATGCCAGTAACTGTTCTGAAGATGCAGTGCCCTCGGTACACTGGATTTTGTACACCAAAGAGAAAAGGAAGAAGCTCACTTGCCATTCTGCTGAGTGTCACTTGTCATGAGTTTTCTGTGCACGTTGTGTTCCGGGTTTATATGGAGACTCTCACCTTGTTGCTTTTTGAATGAGATTTGTAATTGTCCATTTCCCTCAGCATCTTAGGAGAGAGTACATTTTAAAACAAGCCTATGAAATTCTAGTTGTTTTAACTTCGGAATTTGCCAGCATAGCATATTCAAGCATTTCAGATAAATGCTGGCATTAGGTGATTCAAAACCACTCTCTTTATAAGGGGCTAAGAGCAATCATGGCATCACATGTATGTTATGTTCTAAAACCAATCCATTCCACGGATGTTAAAATTAATTGCCTGCAGCTGGACAGACTGACAGCCAGCTCTTACAGCTGCCGGGTAACCCTGGTGGTGTGCTTAGGAAAGAAAGTTAAGGGCTAAATAACTCTATGCATGGCTAAGACTGAAATTTGGGATACCTGAGATCAAACTCAAACCTTTTTCCCTTTTCCTCTGATAGTGAGGATCTCTGTAAATAAAGTTTCCATTTCAAAATTTGAATTTTAATTGGTGAGAAGCTAATTTGCTGGTGTGTTCCGTACGCCTCCAGGTGTGATACTGACAGTACATGTTTGGAAGTAACATGAACCTAAAGGATCCAAAACTGCGTGTGCCACTACTAACGCTTGGTTGTCGTCATCTCGGGAACTTGTTTTGAATCAGTCTGTAATGTTGCAGGGTATTAAAATAGACCCAAGAGGTGCCTCAGATGAGAATCCTTCCTAGCCATCCAGTTTTCAGAGGCGTGTGGTAATGGGTTTGTCTGAGCAGTAGGCAGTAGACTCAGTAGACTCAGTGCTGCCTTTTCTTTCTCTTGCTGTCTATTGTTTCTGACTAACCAACCCACGTCCTGTCTGATACGAAGTGTCTCTGTCTCTTACAGTGTATTTTCTGTTTCCCTTAGAAAACTGTAACTACAGCTTCTATGATCACCACTAAGACACTACCTCTCGTCTTGAAAGCAGCAACTGCGACCATGCCTGCCTCTGTTGTGGGTCAGAGACCTACCATTGCCATGGTTACTGCTATCAACAACAATCAGAAAGCAGTCCTCAGCACTGATGCGCAGACTGCGCCAGTCAACCTCCAGACAACAAATAAGGTCACTGGGCCAGGAGCTGAGGCAGTCCAAATAGTGACAAAAAACACAGTAACTTTGGTAAGCGTTTCGTGTGTTCGCCCTGCCGGTAGCGCGGGGGGTTGGTTTACCAGAGGGCTCTTGGAAAAAAAAAATAAACAAAAAGATAAACGTGCAGGGTTTTGTGCAGAAAGGAGAATAATAGGGCCATGTTGTGAGTCTTCACTAGCTGACCTTGTTAAAATGATAGTCTGAGGGATAAGTGTTTACTGTATACCTGGGTTGTTATTACTCTTTTGCCTTATGGAATTAAATCACTGCTATCACCACCTCTGTCTGAAGTTTCCCCTGTTGTTACATGTTAGTCATGGGGAATTAGAGGTAGTTTTGCCCCTGCCTAATCTACGTGGCTGTGTTCTGCAGAATTCCTACTCTCTTCTTTCCTAAAGGAGATATCAGACTTCCTTCATTTGATCAGTTTGGGTTTTCATCTTAGATTTTTTTTGAGTCAGTAGTTCTCATTCCCTTTGTGTGATAAAGTCTCTGGTGTTCAGACACATCACTTAACTCTGCCCACCTCCCTATCTTCACTCACCACTTTTTCGCATGCATATACAGATCCTGTTTCTTTAAGCATATGTTTTGGGAAGTGCTTTGATGACATCACACAGTCTTTTCCAGAGTAGTTTCCATCTAGAAATAAAAAATAAACAAGCAATGTTTTAAAATTGAGTTATATAAGCTACTTGGTCTGGAAGCCAGGCATTGTATAGCATCATGACAGGGAAATTTTACTTCTGGAGTAAAGGCTAAGGCTTCACTAAACACGAATCCAATTGATTTTCATTAAAAAAATAGAGGTTAATAATGCAAATTGAAGTAATTTTGGTTCCTAATGAGGCATATGTTTGCAGTCAGAAGAGAGGAGACTACTTTGAGTAGAGTTTTTCCTACTGTTCTCTTCTCCCTCATCATCCCTTACACCACTCTCATCTGTCCTTTGTGTCTGTGCTTTGTTTCTTTGCTGAATACCTCACTTAGGTTTGGGGAGGTGATTCTGTTTTAATGATAGCCCATGATTTATGTTTCCATAGCGAATTTCATCAAAAATTTTAGAATATTTTCCCAAGCATTAGTTAATCAGTCCAAGACCTTTTTGAAGTAAACTGCAATCTTATGTAAGTGGACAGAAGTACAGAAGAGCAGAAATTAAAAAGGACATAAATTTCAGAGAATCTCACTGGGTACTCAATTTAGGGCAGCTACTAGTGCTATTGGGAGGTTAAATCATGTGGCACCTTCCTCCAAGTGATTTCAGTTGGACAAGGAGGCACTTAGGATGCCTTAAAACCAGTTCTTAATTGTTTCATGTGAATGGCCTACTTTTGAAAAATTCAAGTTATGTATTTAGAGCCCCTCATAGCGCTGTTAGTATTGCTAAAAGAGCTGTAACTTACAGATCCTTTCTGTTTGTGTGAGATGCTCTTTCATGCTTCCGTATGCCATTCCTAATAAGGAATTCCTTACTATGAAAAGTGAGTGGAAAAACAGGGACATCGGCTCCAAAAATATATTCAGGATGTTGATTTTGGTGAACAACTTCAAAGCTATTTTCCTCTCACTGAACTCTCTTATGTTCTTGTAGCAGGTTCAGGCTACGCCTCAGCCCATAAAAGTGCCGCAGTTCATCCCTCCTCCCAGACTTACTCCTCGCCCAAATTTTCTTCCACAGGTGAGTGTACAGAGAACAAGAAATAGAAGAAAGAACTTAATTACAACGTAGATAGGAGATACTTCCTATGAATGTCATTTTTGTCGGTTTTTGTTGGTGACCTGGTGGAGGAGACAATTCATCCTAAACAGATTGGCAGGTGACGCCAAATTTGAGGATGCAGTCAGTACTCTTGAGGGCACTGCTGGTGTTCGGAGGGCCTCAGAGAGGACGGAGGAATGGGCAGCAGGAACCTCTCGAGCTTCTGCCTAGAAAAAGGCAAAGTTTTGCACCTGGAATGGAGTAAGCCCCTGCATAGGTAGGGGCTGGGGACCGGCTCTCTGGGGAGCAGCACTGCTTAAAATGAGCGCTGTGCCCTGACAGCAAAGAAATTTAACAGCACATTGGGCTGTACCAACAGGACCACGGCCAGGAGATTAAGGGACGGGATTATCCACCTTTCCTTAGCAATCGTAAAACTGGATCTGATAACACAGCATGCTGTTTTGTACTCCCTGGTTGACAAATTTGAATAAATCCAGGGGAGAAAGGCCGCCAAGGTAGCTGGGGAGCAGGAATATGTGACCCGCAAGGGGAGGCTGGAGGGATCTGGGCTTGTTCAGTTTGGAGAAGGCGTTTTGGGGGCACCCAAAGAGCAGCTGGTATCAACAAAGGAATTAACAAAATGTTGGAGACATGAGTGCTTGGAGAATTATAAACAATGATCATTAACTGGAACAGGGAAAGTTTAGACTGCGTATCAGTTCTGTCTTTGAGGAAAATTAGGAGCGGAAGAGACTTCCCAGAGATGCGGTGGAAGCTCCATCCTTGGAGTTTTACAAGACCTGTCTCGTCGAAGCCCTGAGCAACCTGTTCTGTATTAAGTGTTGACAGGAGGACAAATTAGAGACTTCCTGCGCTGCCTTCCAACCTGTACAAGTCTGTGATTATGAAATTTGCATGTGATGATCGTATACGATCTTATTTGCATCAAATGAAGGGAATCCATGCAAGAGGTGTCAGCAAAATCAAAGCATCATGCAAGGCTTTAAATTGCTGTAATTGTTGTTTGATGTTCATGAGCGAAAAAAGAAAGGTGAGATATTTCTAGAGTGTTCTCAAGTTTGTCTGCGTTGCATCAGAGAGTGACCTCTGTTTGCAGCTGAGCAGTAAAACTTGTGTTTCACTCTTTTTTCATGGTTTGGGAAAGGCACAGATTGCTTCTTCATTTAAAAAAACATCTTGGAGGGACTGTTTCATTTGTAAGAAGTAGATGGTGCTATGAATAAAAGTCGTAATTCTTTCACAAAAGGAAAAAGGGAAGTGTGGGCTGTTATCCGATTTAGATTTGGAGACGGTGAGATCTGTGGGAATGTCACAGTTCTCCATGATAAAATGCGTTACAGAGTATTAAGGGTGGACAGGACAACAGGAATTATATAAGGTAAAAGACTGAATTTTCAGAGCAATGTATTCTTCTGAAGCGTAAGTACAAACTTAACAACGGGCAAAAATTAAACAAGTATTTATGGTGGAGTGTTGGAAGATTCTTGTGGCTCTTTTCTTTCTTGTAAAGGAAGGAGAGAGTAATAACTGCATTTACCTGTAGCCTTTCGCAGTTTCAGTGGGGGATTAATGTATAATCTTGATAGGGTTTTTATGTAGTAAAATTGGTTGTGCAGATGTCTAAATAATATGTAGAGTTCACAAAGGTAATAGGGATTTGCTGAAAGATTTAATTATTTCTTGCAGGGCACAACCTGAGACGCACTTTTAACATTAGAACCTCAGCTGTGCCTGTAAATATTACATTAATTTTTTTTTGTACTTGCAAAACCAGTATGTTGATTTAGATACAGAAAAGGCACTTGGTAATAAACATACAGTATAAGTTTCTGTGCATCTATGTACCGTTTAAGGAACAGTGACTGCATATGCAAGTAATGGATAGGTTTTATAGAAGTAGGTTTGAAAATGTGGCTTTTCTGTCTTAGAGTATACTTAGGACACTTTGCTAAAAGGTACATTCTATAAAAAAATCAAGCAAAATGCTGTATATTATACAGGCTGTATTGTAAGACTTAGTAAAAAGTTCACCTGAAATACTGATAGACAAATATCTCTCTTTTTTTCTTTTTTCTTTTTTTTGTAGGTTCGACCTAAACCAGTTGCCCAAAATAACATTCCTATTGCCCCAGCACCTCCTCCAATGCTTGCAGCCCCGCAGCTTATTCAGAGGCCTGTGATGTTGACAACAAAGTTCACCCCCACCTCTTTACCCAACTCCCAGAACTCCATACATCCAGTTCGTGTAGTTAACGGGCAGACAGCAACCATAGCCAAAACGTTCCCCATGGCCCAGCTCACCAGCATCGTGATAGCAGCACCCGGTACGAGGCTCGCCGGACCTCAGACCGTACAGATCAGCAAACCAAACGTTGAAAAACAGGTACAGATAAGGAAGTGTCTGCTAATACCACGCGTCAGGTTTTTTGCTTTACTGTGCCCATTCGGAGAGGAAGACGACCACAGCGAAGTTTTCACTGGGTACTGGAGCTATTCATGTTCCAGCAGCAGAATTTATTGTGGAATGAGTTGGAGCTCTTGGGGTAGAAGTTACCATTTCCTTTGATAAGGGCCATGGGAATCTTTTTCTCATGCTTCAGCGTTTCTGTGCTCCCCCTGCTGTCTCACCTTCAGTAGTTTATAAGCAAGCTACGCTGAAGTGCTGTGCTGCTCTCCTGGAGACCAAGTGCAACCTGAAATCCACGTTCATGTCAAGCCTTTAAAACATTTTCTTTTTTTCTGTTTTTCAAAGGGTGGCTACATGAAAGGTGAAAATGACACAAAATCGCAGGGATATTTAATATGATAAACATAGCCGTTTTTTCCTTGATCTCGTGGTCTTATGATTGGAGACAAAATAGTCTCACGCAGCTTCTGAAGCCTGACAGTGCCCTGTGATTAAATTGGGTAGAAGGGAGAGCTTGAAACAGAGAATTCTAGATGTTTCGTTTTAAAGTCTCTCTCCAGAAAAATTTTTTTTTAAATAAAACATGACTTCAGGCAGAGTGAGTTGCAATTGAGAGTCAGAATCACAGAGTGATAGGAGTCCTTGCCATTGAACTCAAGTAAAGCAACCTTCTCTTTCACTTTTAATTCCTTCCTGTACTATTATTAATAATAGCATAATATTTTATACTAGATAATACATTATCTATCACATATAATATTTATGTAATTTATATAAATAATATATAAGCCCTTTAAATATTATTTTTATAAAGAATACATAAATGATACGGAAGTAGTTGTAAATAATAGTAACTTACAACCTCTTTCACAGACTGATGTGCCTTGAAGTTACTTTCTGCTTTTGAAGTCACCTGTGGAGACTGTGAAAATCATGTGCATGAGAGATACGCTCATGCTCAGTTCTGCTTATGAATTCTCTTGAGCAGTTTCTTGTGTATCTCAAGTCTGTTCCACGAGTTACTCAGCAACACATGCCCTTTTCATATGATTTGAAGTTGTACTTCCACAACACCCTGCTTTTGATGCCTTTTCCTTTTGGTGTCAGCAATATTCATTTGCTCTTCGAATAATTACTGGCAATTCAACTCTTGAAAAACATGCAGAAGAGTGGTGGTGGTTTAATAAGACATGAATTTCTTTGTATCATAAAGAGGAAAAGTTTGGTGGTGGTTTAATAAGACATGAATTTCTTTGTGTGTTTTCCCTGTATCATAAAGAGGAAAAGTTTATCTCTCTCTAGCTTCAGTTTGTAGCCTCAACAGCTGTGCCATGGGCTGAGGTTTGTCATGCAGGGTTTGCAGAAGATTACGACTTCAGAAAAGAAAAAAGCTTCAGAAACATCTGAGATCATAGGAGTCAGGGAAACAGGATTTGAGCCATTAGTAATTCTCTGAAATTTGAAGACTGGGAATTGCTAAGTACAAAATGCAAGTGCCATGCCTTTTCTTAAAGTATCTGTTAGTTTTCCCATACCGTATAGTGATTTCTGTCACGGAGCTAACTGTTAATATGACACTTATTGCTGGCATGGCTGCTGGGTTAACAGTATGGTGGTAGTAAGGCTATCTCATCCTATGTTAAAGGAAAACGCTTTATTTAACATTCCTCTCATGACAGATTTCTCAATTAAGTCTTTGTTAGTACAGTGCCACTTTAAAAGTGGTTTTCTCCTGTATCTGCAGAAGTATTTGATTTGCTTTATTGGTCAAAGTAAAAAAAAAAAAAGTAGTTCTTATCACTGAATGAGACAAACACTTGTTTCTTTTCAGACTATTAAACCACATGTGGAAGCAGAAGAGAAGCAAACGGAAAGTCGTACAGTTACTCCACCTGTTGCACCGAAGCCAAAACGAGAAGAAAATCCTCAGGTATCAGAACACGCCCAGAACTTTCTTTTAAGAACAAAAAGGAAACACTCAGTGCTTCAAGAAACGTTTTTCCCCCTCTGTTCCCTCAGGACTCCTTAACTTTAACATTCCATACATTCCTATTGGAGGGCAGTTGTTGATAAGGCTGCAGAATAAGAAATCTAAATAAATATAATGCATCGCATTTTTCAATCCTGGAATGCTTTTGACTTCTGAGTCTTTTCTAAGTTAGAAGATCATAATTTCCCTCTGATACTGCCTTCAACGACTTAGGTTATGGTGTTGATTTCTATTCCTTTGAAGTTTTAGACTTCTGGATTTAGTTGTAGTGCTGGAGGAATGGCTTTATTTTGCTTTATGAAATATTTCTGCTCTGGTGAACAGGATGGAAAGATTCATGTATGTTCACATTCTGCCTGGGTCTTATTCCTATTTAGATCCTATTGGTTTGAGGGGCAGAATGTTTATTTCTTACATCCTTTCTGCCATGCAGAGCTTTGGAGTTGATTCCAGCTAAATGCTCTACTACATTTGTTTTTATAGATGGGTTTAAACTGGCCACTCTGTGAGCATTAACTGTCATCAGTACAAATTCTGATTTTTACATACCTGTGCACTTCCTGCATTAAAATTAGAAACCCTAAAGGAGAATTACTGAACAGTGAATGTAAACTTGCTCCCTGTAGTTTATGGAGAATGTTCTTCAGCTACGTGGTATTTTGCTGTCAGTTGAACTGTGTTGGTGTTTATTAAGAGCCAGTCAGGTAGTTGGGTCAGTGCTGGACTGGAAGTAAAGAAACTGTTTTCCTGCTCTCAGCGGTGCCACCTCTGTGAGCAATCAGCATTTCCCTGTATCTCAGCCTGGGTTCCCATCTAGAAAATGGGACTGTTGTCTGTTCTCTGTAAGGCAGTTTGACATATCTGAATGAAAAGTGGTTTATAGAAGCAAAGTATTACTAATAACGTTTTTGCTGCTTAGTTACCTGTCGACTGACTTTAAAGGGTCTCAGTGACATTGCTCGTCCTAACAGTTTGACTTGTCATGATCTTTTTTTCTCCTCCTTCACAGAAACTTGCCTTCATGGTGTCTCTGGGCCTAGTTACTCACGATCATCTGGAAGGTAGGAAAAAAGTCTTAAGTTTGTTTTTGAGCTCCCTGTTTCACGGCCATTCTGAATTAGAAGTCCAAGTCCAAAATATTTCTGTATTAAACGCATTCTTTTCTTGCACAGAAGTACATTGGGAATGTCTGAACTGTTGATTAATTTAGTTTCTTGTGCATGCTTTTTTATTCCACTGATTACCTTGAAACAGAGCAGTTACTTATGCAGTGGAGATCAGTGGTTGGGTAGAAAGTTTATGCTTTGATGGTAGGAAAGAAATTTGTGACAATCCTGTTGCTTTCTGGACAGCCCTTGTATCCGCAAAGTTACACCACAGATAATTTTACTGTAACCCACATCTGGATTTTTAATTTAATTTTGTGATTTCATGGGACTCTAATCTGTATTCAGTGAGTTAAATTATAAAACCAATTATATTCTGTTAAACTCCTTAATCCCCTGCAGTGAAATATAACCTAACAGCTGTAATACAGCTGAAATACAGCTTGCCCTATTTCTGTGCTGTGTTTATTTTTAGATATCAACAGGGCTACCAGAGGCTTTTCGGTTCCAATCCCAATTACAATGACCACAAGTTTAAAGCGTCTCAGTAGTGGAGTGCTTGTCGGGAAGATGGCAATCATTTCATTAGTTAGTTGAGCACTGTATTTGTATTCCTTGTCAGCTCTTAGTTTTCAAACCTTCAGAAATTAGAAGTGCTACAAGGTTGCCTGTGTTTGGCATGTTTGTTGTTCTGTAGAAATCGTCACAGCTCTCCTCACATGCAAACTGTAGAATTTCCAAGACCTATTTATTGTTTTCTAACCTGAATGTTTTGTTTTACAAGAAATCCAAAGTAAGCGGCAAGAGAGGAAAAGAAGAACAACAGCAAATCCAGTGTACAGTGGAGCCGTTTTTGAGCCTGAGGTATTAATTTTTTTGCTGGGGAAAGCTGGTATTTTTATTCTTGGCTTGTGTGTCTTTCTGCCACGTTGCTGCCTCTTAAACAATCTCAGTCCTAACTAGACAGGCAAGCTATCATTTATAATTCAAAAAGCCATTGCAATGATACGACCCTCAGGTTTTCAAATAGTAAGTACGTTGGGATGTTCTTCTAATACTTACATCTTTTTCTTCTTTCCCCTCTGTAAAGCTGAGATTAAATGGCAGTGTGTGCTGGTCTTACATTAGGTCAGCGCGTGTGTCTGCCCTCAAGCAGTCCAGATGTCAGAAGCAGCATAAAAAAGCTAACCTTTCAGAAAGCAGAACAGCCAGTAATCTCACTTAGCATTATTGTGCCATTCCTCAGCTACTGCGCAGAGTTGTTGCCAAAAATGTCACCCAACAAAAATTGCTGTATTCTTTTCTGCAGCGCAAGAAGAGTGCGGTCACGTACCTGAACAGCACAATGCATCCTGGGACACGTAAAAGAGGTGAGGTGCACTTAGACCTGTCTCCCTGCTCTCTGCCTCTTCCTCCTCCTTGCATTTGCAGTCCCCTTGTTGATTCAAAGAGTAAAACTAAGAAGGACTCTCCAGTACTTCAGTTGTGAAGTAAATTTCCATGGTAGACAAAGATCATAACTGCTAGGGATAAGCATAGCAGGTTTTAATGCCTCTTTTCAGTTTCAGTCTCAAAAAAAATAATAAAATACAAGAGGTAGAGCAAAGTGAAGGGTGAGATGTTTTGAGCGTAATTTAGTGGCGTAAAGCTGATACCAAGATCCTCTTGTTAATAACTAAATTGGATTGTTACTGTCAGTAAAAAGGTGGTTATGGAAAAAGTGTCTATGCCCTGAATAGGAGAGGAAACTTAATGGGACCAAAGCCTTGATCCCCTCGGGGAGTAGAGGTGGATCCTTCAGAGGAATTTGTCTTGAGCCAGAAAAGAAGTCATGTGCATACTGAGAACTTTTCTACAAGCAGAGTGCTGCCTGTCCTAAAATGAGAGATGATCTCTCATATAGGTATGCAGTATTATTCCACAGGCATCCTTTTGTAGAACAGGTGACATGTTAAGACTTAGATTATGGTGAAACAGCCGAGTGAGAACAGCATAGGAGAGAACGCGATACCATTTTTTGAGCGTGGCATCAACCACACATATGTGACAATCTGGCCTTGATTTTGGACGATTTTGCGCAGTCCTTAAGTGCTTGTAATACCTACTTCTGAGTTTGCTGACTGAAAAAAAGTAATCAATCAGATTAAAAAACCCAGCGTCCTACCTAGCACTGGCCAGTTCTGTTATCTTTGGTTTTTGGCTGCAAGGTCAAATACTCATTTGACGTGTGCTCTGCTTGATGTACCTCTTCAGTCCAGCAGGCAATGTGGCAAAGCTGACACTTCTGCAGCTGTGCTGTTTCTAAATAAAAGACATCAGTCTCTACTGCCACCCTTTAATAACCTTAAATGTATTTTTTAAAATTATATGATGTAGATTTTATAGAGAGAGAGTTTTGCATTTACTCTGTAGATGAGTAAGTGTTCCTTCTTTTAGTAATGATTTCTTAATTCTATTTTATAACTCATTGTGAACAATTACTGTATCAATGAAGACAATTGCATGCTTTTGTACTTATACTCTCTTAGCCTGTTTTTGCATGCTGACTGCTATTATACTTTCTTTTTATTCTCACACCCTGTTGTAAGCCTGTACCTTGCATTAGCACCAAATCAGTAGCATGCATTTTTAGTTGACAATTGGACACGTACATTTGTTTTGTGATTTAGTGTAGCAATATATTAGGTAAAAAGCTTATGCAAGCATGTGCCCTTGGGAGTTTTGGTTTAATTCTAGATGGTGCTGAGCATGTCAGAAATTTCAGCAATGGACATCACTATCAGAAATACGTTTCCAAGGACATACTTAGTTCTGGAACGTATCCAGACCTTAAATGCAAGGTTTAGCATGTTAATAGGTATAGACTGACAATCTGTAAACATAAGATCTGGGGAATTATTCCTAAATCCTGACTCCTTTATGTTTACATATCCATAAATTACCCTGGAGAAGGGAAGCAGAAATGATGGTTACGTACTGGGTTTTTTACTGTCTGGCTTTGCATACAGAATTGTACGAAAATTGTTACAAATGCCTTTTGCACTTCTGCTGCTCTAAAGGAGCACACGGGAGCTGTGCATAATCGAACGCGCTTAACTGAGAAAGCCTAAAACAGAATGCGCAATTTGGGGGGGTGGTTACAGTGGAAGACCAGTGGTAGGTTACAACTGGTCGTGCTGGTGTTATGGGTCAGGCAACAGGACTTGATCTTGAGGTATCCTAATTTAAAAAAATGTACTAGCAGGGTAGGAAGTGCTGATCTGTGGGTGAGTGAGTTTAAAAAAAGGGGGGAAAAAAGAAGGTTGTTGGTGAGTGTTGGCCTCTGATAAAGGACTTAACCTTTGTGTAGATTTATGCTGGCACTAGAAAGATAGGGAGGTGTGGGAAACAGTAGAAAGGATTTAATAGTAGCTTCTCTCTGGCTTTGATGCCAACCTGTTTTCCTTAAAAACTGAATTAGCCTCATTTCTAGGAGTGACTGGTGTACCAGCACTGCTTTTTTGGGGGTGATTCTTTGACTCTCTATAGAGCTTACTTCTGTTTCCTTCTGAAATACATCTTTTAAATGTTCTTTCCTTGCAAAATTCTGCTGAAAGATTTCTAAAAATGTTTAAATCTGTACTTCTGTCCTTCCACTTGTAACTTTTATATTAACTTCCTCTCTGTACTACATCATTTCCTTTTTCACGCTAGCCAATGAGGACCACTGGCCAAAGGTATGTAAGATCATTTTTCCTTCTTCTTTTTTTTTGTTTTGTTTTGTTCCCTGTTGTTAATATGTAGGTCGTCCACCTAAATACAACACGGTGCTGGGGTTTGGGGCTTTGACCCCCACGTCCCCTCTGTCGAGTTATCCTGACTCCCCTGAAAATGAAAAGACAGAGACCACATTTACTTTTCCCGCAGCTGTTCAGCCTGTGTCCCTGCCTAGCCCCAGCTCCACAGACGTAAGTAAATTCTTGGGGAAGGGATGACTTTTAGAAAGATATGCAGAAAACAGCCACAAGGAAAATCATTGCAGATTTTGTTTTTCAGTCTCACTCATCATTTGTCCTGATTTGGTGCAGTGAAACAGTCTGGCGTTCCTTTAACACCCTTCCTTTTAGCTCCTGCACCTATGTTCTTGTCCTGTGGAGTTTTTATTTATAACTCCTTCAGTGGATTGAAACATTGGGAGGAACCAGGCATTCTAGATGAGCTCATTTCCTTCGTGCAGCGTCTGAGATTTTGTCAGACTGAATTGAATCTGTCATCCATGAAAAAGAGGGAAGGGGAGAATGAAAAGTATTACTTGCAGACCATAATAACAAAATTTTGTGGTGTTTCTGTAATGAGAGAAGGAGGGAGACCACTTTGATCATGCAGAGCAGCCAGAAGAAGCATATAGTTTGGCAATTCTGGTGTACTGGCATAGCTAAATACATCACCCCTGTGGACAGATGGCAAAATCCGTCTTGAGTGAAATCCAGTCATATTGTTATAATTTATAAAGAAGAGAGTGTCCTTATTTTAAGGCAATTCACATATAAGATTTGCTATTCAAAGCACAGCCATTTTTAGGTTGCCGAGACCTATCCACTTATTTCATTGGTTTTATTTCTTGTGAAAACTTGATGGAAAAAGCCATGCATAAACTTCAGAAGAGAAGTAGTGCGGGAAGAACTGGACCGGGTCACTGTGTAGTCCAACATGACATAATGAAGGGACCATACACTATGGTTTGTCTGAAAATAAACTGTGACTGTTCAGTATGGGAGTATCAGTTCATTGCACAAAAATTCTCTTTGCTTCCAGTAAAGTGCTTGCATTAAAATGATTCGTACTTACTGGGCATAGTTTAAAAATACAAAGGTGCTTACTTATATCTTCATACCAGTCTGTAAACTCCTTCTGCAATCTGAGTCAGAGCAGTCTTTGTGAGGGTTTTTTCCCTTTTTTAATAAAAAAACATATTATCGCATACCATAAAATCATAGAATGTGTTGGCCTGGAAGGGACCTTTACAGATGATCTACTCCAACCCCCTGCAGTGGGGAGGGACATCTTTAACTACATCAGGTGGCTCAGAGCCTGAAGCCTGATCCCGGGGTGGGTCTTCCCCCACCTCTCTGGTCAACCTGTCCCAGTGTTTCACCACCCTCACTGAAAAAACTTTCTTCCTTATATCTAATCTGAATCTGCCCTCTTTTAGTTTAAAACCATTACCTCGTGTCCTATCCAACAGGCCCTGCTTAAAAAGATTGTCCCCATCTTTCTAATACTCTCCCTTTAAGTATTGAAAGGCCCAACCATTTGAAATGGGCTTTAGGGTAGAGTTGGGCCACCTTATTTTCATCGATGCAGGTACGGAGACAGAGACCCCAACTACTGGCTGCATAAATAGGGAATAGAAGCCAACTTCTTGCCTCTGAACTGTATTTATTCTGCAGAGGTAACAGGAACAGGAATAGTACAAGTGTTTCTGAGTCACTGAAATAAATAGATACAGTTCTGGTACCCAGGGAATATGTATGGGAAATTAAAAGGTTCTCTTCTATTTAGTCATTTTTGAGAGGAGAGAAGTGGAAAAAACCTTCCCTGACAAATGAATGGGCCTGTGGAATGGCCCCTCAGGGAGAAGGTGTGGAAGCTCCATCTCTGGGGACTCCTAAAAGTGAGTGGTACAAACAACTAGCAAACGTGCTGGAGAGCACATTTTTTTACCTTGGTCTCAAGAGAAGGACTGGATAATGCAGAAGGGGTCTTCTCCATCTCTGACTTGTGTGTCTATCCCGACAAGTCTTTTCTCACTGTGTAAGAGCTCTCAGAAAAGTATAATGAGTTGTTGCCCTGTTTCCTGCAATGCCTGGTAGCAGCAAGCTAAATCACGAATAGTGAATTTCTGTAGCATTCAAATCTAGTTCTGAATGCCCTGAATTATCTGAATTTGGTTAGTATTTAGGCCTAGGTTCTGGGCTGCTTTAATATTCATTAATTAGTGAAAGTATTTTAAAGGAGAAAATGGAAGATTACTACCGCAAGTAATTAACATAGTAGCACTCTTTGTCCTTTAGAATCATACGTAAATCTCCTTTACGCTGTTTCTAGACAAGTCAGTTTATGCATATGCAACAGCACTAACATTTTTGCAGGTTTATGTTTTTTTGGAAGAATTTGGTCCCAAAGTCCCACTGAATGCATATTCGCTATCAATTAAGCTAATTCGGTAGACTTTCCAGAAATACTTGGTATTGAATTCTGTATCAAATACATGTAAAAGTAGAAAATGCTCATAAAAATATTTTTTAATTAAAAATACAGTATTAAACAGAATGGGAACCTTCAGAGACAGCAGAATATTGGAAAGGAAGTAAATAGGAGATTTGTTGTGTTGTCATTGCGTGTTATAATTCCTGCTTGCTAATCATAAAGAGAGGAATAGCTTCCCATTGCCATCGTGAGCTGGAAGGTAGTCTGCTGTTCATATGTTCTCATAAAACTGCTGTATAAGCTTGTGCAATCACATCCCTTTGCTGTGATTCGGTTTTCCCCCATTTATACATTTGGCATGGTGCTTCCTTTTCCCATCTGAGTTTTGAGAACTTAGCAATGCTTGTAAAAACCTTGAGCATCCTTGGCTGGAAAAGTGCTATAGAATGCTGGAAAAGTACTGTGTATTTAACACCCACAGTACAAGTCGTGCTGGAGGTAAAGACAAAGAGGAATACGGCATCTTTGGTGTTTAAGGAGCTTGCAGCTTAATTAGATGTAGAATACGGTCCACACCGAAACGCTCGTGTCATAGTTTATGACCTGGGCTACCACTACAACTGTCTTGCCTGTCACCAGCATTTTCTTATCCCTTAAATGTCTCCTGTGTTGTTCCAGCACAGATACACCTGAGGCTCTATTGTGACCTGCAGGAGGGAACTAGCGTAGCTAAAATTGGTTGGTCTTAGCCACAGATGTGCCCTGATCTGGTTAGGTTTATAGACGCACACATTCTTGTGTCAGCCTCGTGCAGGGGATGGAAATGAGCATCTGGGCGTATAGAGATCACTTATTTTGGCTGTGAGGCCAGTAGGTGTCATGCTGAAGAGGGTCCACACCGTTAGCAGGATGATATGAATATAGAAAGCTCTCTTCGTTCTAGATAGGGCAGAAAATGTTGTCTGTAGTTATAGCCTCCAGCTTTTGGGGACTTAACAATGAAAACAGGACAAGTGCATGCCGAAGTAAAAGGCTATTTCAGAGGTTAAAACAATTGAGCAGTCCCTCAGACAGATAAAGAAGAAAACTGCGGTTTGGCCCATCTTTAAAATATTTTTGCATTAATTTGCTGAGGCTTTAGAATGGAAATTTGATATTTAGCACTTGAATAACCTTTGTCTTTAGCCAGCCTGTGAAAATTGCAGATCAGGCCAAGCGCTTGGCACCAGGCACCATGGACCAGAATGGCCCTCTTGCCTTTCTCCTGAATTGTCACTTTCTGAATGACAGGGATAAATTTTGAAGGGAGGATGGAGCTGGCGTTTGACACGAGGTTGCTGATAAGGATGGAGGGTAGAAAGTAGGAATAGAACCTGGGAGAAGGAAGAAAGTAATGCAGTAGACAGGATTGAGCAAAACTTCTCTTTTTTTTTTTTCCTCTCTTTTTTCCTGTTTGGCTATTGGCTGTGAACCACGGTGGTTTTTGCGCATATGTGTTGTCATCTCAATGCATTCAGCCGCACTGCACAGTGACCAGCTGTGTCACTTCACGTTTTGCAGCATTCAGTTAATTTAGAAGGTTCTGAGCCTGCATTTCTAAACCTCTCCTTCTCAAGAAGCAACTGCATGTCCCTCTTGTGTAGGTGACTTTCTGCAGGGTATTAAACAAAACAGGTCTGGTTTTCAACACACCAAGAATTTTGCACTTGAGCCGGTTACCGAGTGCCATTGTGTAGTCTGGCCGCTAAAGCATCTTAACGCATGTAGTTCTCAAGAATGAGAATTTTCTTCTGAAATGTGAGGATTTTCCTCTTGTATTTTTCCTTAGGTTGCAGAGGATTTTGTTTTTAGCTTATATGACATCTCCTGCCTGCCTTCTTTTCCTTGTACTCGCAGAATGAGGAAAAGAACTTCTTCCCAGCCTCGTTACACAGATCACTTCCCAAGAGGCATGAAATGTCACTCATTTAATTCTTCATTTAACACTAAGGAACTCTGTGGTGTTAAAGGATGAAGTAATACCATAACCTAGCTCCCAGCAATACCTGGGAGTTACGGAACAAAAACATGGCACTGAAAATTCGCTGAAGATTGATCCTTTACGAAACATGACATCAGTGCTAACCTTGGGAATTAGGAGAAGAATAGCCTTCCCTGCAAAGAAAGGTCTCATCAGCAATAAAGCTGGGAAGTAGAAACCTGAGCAGATTGCTTGTGTGTCATTCGGCTAATATGTTTAATATTTTATCCATAGTAGAGATTAGTGTCGTTTTTCTTTCCTGGCAACTTAATGTGTAAGTGCACGGCCAAATCTGCTAGCCCTCCAAATTAATAGAACTTTTTCCAGCAGGTGAAAAGACTGTACAGGTCAAAACGAAACCTTGCACACATTGGTATTTCATACAAGGGAAGTGTTTGACTCAACACACATATCTTAAGATTGTGCTGTTGCAGATCTGGTTTTCTAATGTGAAACTTCGGCCGAAGCTGGTAAAAAATGTGTTTTTCAGACTCCATGTGGGGCCTCAAATATTACAAGTTGCCAGGACAGCCCACGTGAGGTGAGAGGAGAGGGCTGGGGTGCCCCTCTCCTCCTCTGTGGATGCTGAGCCATCTTTCTTTCACGCCTCTCTGTTTAAATATCTGGGAAAGAAAAAATAAAAATAAAACAAACAGCAACACCACCACCACTCCAAGCATGAGATGGGAGAAACAGGAGGACAGAGAGAGAATAAAAAGTTATGAAAATCAGACCTGCCTTTCTGGGAAGTTAATGCCTGTAGAAAAAAAATTCTCTGAAGGTGATGCAGTAGTAACTAAACCTAGGGGGTTTTTTTTTAAAGGACAGTAAAGTTTTCAATTCTTTCTTTTAAAAAAAGCTAATTTCAGAAATCTCTCTTGGTATTCCTTTGTCCTGGCCCTCAGCCTATGATAGCAATGAAACATAAACCACTCTCTATAGACAATGAGAAAACTTTTGAGTCACAGCTTTTTTGGTGCAACCATTCTTCAAATGAAGAAAAAAGAGTTGTCTCATAACATAATTCAGACTGTTCTTTTTTCATGTAAAGCACAACACCTTTTCCTTCCAGTTTCGTTTTTAAAGACGACCTCAATATCTGACAGGGCTCTTTTAAGACACTCAGTTGGGGTTTCTTACATACTATTACTGGCAAGAGACAGCCTCATCAGCATTCCTGAAGTGGAGTTGGGCTTACATCCAGAAATGAGAAGGGTTAAGGAAGCGGGTAGGTCATCACATTAGGAAAAAAATAAAAGCAGGGTAAAGAAGAAAGGCTGTGGGGTATCGGTTGTTAAGAAAAGCTATGGTAATAAGTGTTTGCTGTAACATTTTGCCTTGGGAAGACAGAGGGAGTGTTTGAGAGGACAGATGTCAGTGTTTCTGACATCCTGCCTGGTTCTCCTGATTCACAGCCTAAAAAAGGCTCGACTCTTTGGAGTTGCTTTAAAAATAGCTTGTGCTGTAAACTTTGCATTCAACTAGGATGTAGATGTCAAAGGTCAAAGTCTTTTTACCGTCTCTTTCTCTCACCCACACCCCTTCCCCTCAATTTTATAGGGCGATATCCATGAGGATTTTTGCAGTGTTTGCAGAAAAAGCGGTCAGTTGCTGATGTGTGACACATGTTCACGTGTTTATCACCTGGACTGTCTGGACCCACCTCTGAAAACTATTCCCAAGGGCATGTGGATCTGTCCCAAATGTCAAGACCAGGTATTGTTTGACAGATAAGGAGAGTTATATACAGTGCACTATAAAGATTTTTTCAGTGTTAAAGAAAATAACGAGATCGCTTGGCTTACTTGGATCGAGACAGCTTGACGCTGAAGAAATCTGTTTGATCTGTAATCAGGTTTATGTGAATTTGGTGGAATGCATGCAAATACAAAACTGTTAGGTCTTGCTCCCAGATTTGGGGACTTTATTTGTTACCCTTGTGTTTTTACTCTCTTTCTGGGCTGAAGCTTGCAGACTTTTGGGAGAGGTTCTCTGTGACCCATACAAATTTTGCTATTGATCTTAAGCTCGTTGTTTCTTCAAAAGTTATTAGTATATTCTTCTGGACAAATAAATAAAACTTTTACACAAGCCTACCTCGATAGATAGAGCAAATATAAGCTCCTGTTTGCTTATATAAAATCAAACATCAGAGAGATTGTGTTCAGTGATCTCTTTAATTATGTCATCCAGCATCAGTATAATGAGGACAGGAGAACAGTTTGGTGGTTCTTCCTTCCAGATCCCTCTCTACAAATACACAACTGAAGCAAACAGATTATATTTTAGTATTTCATTTATAATTGCCTTGAGATTACAAGACAAAGAAGTAAACTACACTATGCTTAACTCTTACGTGGAAGTCCAGAAGTCGCGAAGGATTGCTGATGGCTGGCAGCCTGAAGCTGTTAGCGTCCTGTCTCATGTAGCATATTTCTTGGTGGCCCACATGACCTTTAGTTGGCCAGATGGGAATGTAAGAGAACAGCCTGACGTACAATATGGTGTGCAGAAGAATGAAAATGCAAAACTCAAGTGACTTGGTCAGTGATTACAGGAGAGGAAGGAGTTACCACTTCCCTATTCCTGCTTTTGCCTGCTCTCACCTTATCCCTCCTTCATATTTCCATGATAGGTTCCCACAAATTTAGTGGGAGAAATCTAAGTAATTTCACTATAAAGTGCCAGAGTCCTCTATATTCTGAGATGCCCCTCTGGTTCACTTATTAAAAATACATATCTTTCTCTCAAAATAAAGTTCATTGGTAAGGAACAAGTAGGAGGGATCTGGAAGACATAAATATTGCTTGCCCTTGTAAAGAAGATTTGACATCTCTATTAAGATGATTCTGATAAGAAGGAGAGATAGGACGGTTTTGTGTTTTACTAGCCAGAAAGTGTAATGTTTGAATGTATGGAAACTCTTCTGTGCCCAGAACAGCTAAGATCAGCAATTTGTCTGAGCCCTTGAATAATGTTTATGTCTCCTGGCAAGTTTGAGTTCAGATGTATTATCCTTTCGTTCTTCTTTTAAGTTGTTCGGTTTCATTAGTAGACTTTATTTGTAGCTAGGGAGGGAATTTGAGAAAATGCTGACATTTGTAAGAAACAGGCCTGCTTTGTGGGAGACACAATACAGTTGTGAATAATTCCCTCTGTTAAATCCCAGAACAGGTCTGTGAAGCTTCATGTTAACAGGGCCGAGGCTAATGATAGCCATAAAAGAAAATCCCCAGCCCTTGCAGCTTTTCTCTCTTTCCTTTTTGCTATCTTAGAGGTGGATTGTATAACAGCTAAATCTCTAAACACTTTTCTTTCAGATGCTAAAGAAGGAAGAAGCAATCCCATGGCCAGGAACTTTAGCAATCGTTCATTCATATATTGCATATAAAGCAGGTAGGTAAATGCAGAACAGTACTTTTGTTTCTCTTTTAATAATGGAAGATGTTATTTTGGGAATGGGGTAGAATGGGGCTTCCTTTTCAAAAGAAAATTAAAGGGGAAGAACCTTAAACACTAGTGAAGTGAAAATGGTCTAAAAATGTATTAAGCTTGTTTGTGCTGGTGAAATTTTGGGGGCGATTTAGTGCACAAGTTGTGGAATTGACTTTAAGCATAATTGCCTTCTTTACTTGAAGCAGTTCGAGCCTCTGTCCACTGTTGTATCTGGAACATTTTGAATATTCTGATTAATATTCTGTTTTGCAGCAAAAGAAGAGGAAAAACAGAAACTACTTAAATGGAGTTCAGATTTAAAACAGGAAAGAGAACAACTAGAGCAGAAGGTCAAACAGCTCAGCAATTCTATAACGGTGAGTACCATTGTCCCAAATAACTCTGCATCTGTGTTCTGGTGCCTGAATGCAGTTATAGAGTGGCTCCATGTACTAGACCTGTCTTCAGCTGGATTGACTGAGATCTGAGTGAGCACTTTCCTTTGCTTTTTAGGTAATGAAATATAGGCAACATATGCTTATATCGAGTCACTTACACATGGTCCGTGCTGACCATATATTGTGGACAAACACTGACCTATAATGTCAGCTAGTGACAAACATGGCCCAGAGCATTATTGTCTGTGGGCAACAGGTGAAGACAAATTCTCCAGTGGCTCACTTAGCTGAGAATGGTCAGACCTCTGGGTGTAGTAAGAGTTACAGGCTTGGTGTCTGCTTTCCAAACCTTTCTGATCCAAAAGTGACCATTCATTCACGACTGACTCTCGTGCTCTCGATGTGTTGCCTTGGCAGTCAGCAGCTGGACGCTGTGCATGCCTCTGCTTAATATTAATCAGACAATGTCATACTTCGAACCAGAAGCTGTACTTTCCACCTTAGTTTATCGCAGGATTTGGAGCACACATGTTCATGTGCTCTCTCTTCTCACCTTAATATGCAAATCAGAGACTTGAGTTGCCAGTGCAAAGTTTGAGCCCCTCACTTAGTGTAGCCCTAGTCAATAACACAGAATGAGAACTACTGAAATCTCTTATGTGGCAGCAACTGTAAGGCTGGATATGTAAGTACAGACTTTTCTTTTTCAATACAAATGTACTTTCCCATCTACTTGTCTTTACCTAGTAGAACAAAAGTAAGTGTCCCATGTTTATAGACCCCTAAATGCTGTCAGTACAAATAAAGTGATTGTGAGCAAATGACTGGTGGGAGTGCTGGTTAGCAGTTCTAGAGACTGTCACCTTCTGGTTAGCAGCAGCTGGACATAACATGAACTGTGCTAGAGCACTAGCCTCAGTGGTGTACCCAGGCAGATGCAAACCCTTAGCATGAGGGATTGACATTAGGCAAAGAGAATGGTTTATTTTCTATGATCAAGTCAGAAAAAAGCTGAAACCATTGATGTCTGAAGACCAGCGTGGATGAAAGGTTTAGAAACTATAGGAAGGTTGCCATCTTCATGTAAGAAGCTGAATGTTATGGACATAGCTACCATCTCCTCTTTTTCAAGAGTTTCAAATACAGGTATAAGCAGCTTTTCACCCCTGAGACATCATTTGTGGACTTTTTTAAAAGCTGTCTTACTGTTAGCTGATGAGCTAGCTAGGTTTCTCCTGCTTCTAAGAGAAAGAAATGGCCACAAAATAAGATTGTCAAGTGAAGAAGGGCTTGTTTTTCTTTCCAAGCGCCCCTTTATTTACTGAGAGAAGGAAGTGATGTTCCTGCTAAAATGTACGTGAAAACAAAGGCTGTGTCCCATTAGTGGCATGCACACACCCTGTCAGCAGGCAGCTGCAGGAGGATGCCTGCGTTTGCAGATCTGAGCTAAAGAAATTTCATCAATGCAATACTAACAGGAAAAAATAGGAAGAACATATACTTGGAAGTTGCCCTTCGAAAGGAACACGAAAGGATGGAGCCGTCCGTGTTAATTTGCAGAATAGCTTGGTATGAAAGGGGGCTATATACCAGGCGACAGCTACCGACTGGCAGTTCAATTCCTCAGCCTGCAAATACGAATTCTCCTGTGAACACAGCCCTGAGACCCGTTTTCTTCTAGGCTGGGAAAGTGAAACGGTAGCTGTAATCTTCCCTGTGCACTTACATTTAGACCTTACCTCTTCTCATTCGTAAGCCTGAACATACTGCTGCTTTTCTGTTTCGCTGCAGAAATGCATGGAAATGAAGAACACCATCCTTGCAAAACAGAAGGAGATGCACAGCTCCTTGGAGAAGGTAAAACAGCTGATCCGCCTCATCCAAGGCATCGACCTTTCAAAACCCATAAACTCTGAGGTCAATTCAGTAGCCATCTCCAACGGCATGGACTCCACTAACAATACTAATGCTGCCACCTCCACCTTAGCCCCCTCCCCTTCCCAGAGCTGCATGGTGAACTGTAACAAGGGCGATGAGACTAAATAACACAGCGAAGTTAAGAAGGAGCCAAGGGAGGTGGCGGCGAGGAGGAAGAGCAAAATAACGAAACTCTAGAAAAGCAAAACCGGATTTCTTCTGGAAAGTGCAGAATTCTTTAGTTCTTTGGTTCCAGAGAGAGCGTGAAGATGCTTGTGCCAGGCGGCACCGGAGTTTGCCAATTGATCCTTCTTATTCTGTGTGTACATGCGAAGTTTGGATCATGTTACATGACTAGTGCCAGCTGGGGGTTCTTTGCCAGCACCATGCCAAGTGAAATAATATATTTACTCTCTCTATATTTTACACCAGTGTGTGCCTGCAGCAGCCTCCACAGCCACTATAGGTTTGTTTTATTTTTGTTTGGGGTGAGGAGCAGGGATGAGGGAGGAGAGCAGGTTTCAAATCCTTATTTGCAGCACAGTTTGTTTAGCTAGAGGAATACAAAAAAAAACAAGTCCAAAGAGCCTGTGGGCTTTTCCTGTTTCTAAACTCTCAGTACTATTAAACCAAAAAACCAGAAATATAAATTATCAAATCCCAGTGCCCAGAAGGGACGAGTCTATCAAATAAGCAGTATTTACTATTGTTTAGACAGGAGATGTACAAAAAGAAAGGAGATGGACTTTTCACTGAGTAACCAGCACATGTAGGGCTGAGGATCTACTGTCCCAACAGCTTTGGGTTAATCCTGTTTCTTCACATTAAACAACAGACATGCTTTGCAGATTTGGTTCAGGTCCTCACACTCATGCAGAAAGCTGATGTTGGGAATGGGAAAATCGAGGGCCAGAATCCAGGGTCAGCTTGGAGCATTGGACAGAGGTGTCCCAAGAGGAGATGTGCATCGATTACTTGAAAATGAGATTCCAACCCTTTTCTATATTTATAAACGACAAAGGTATCCTGAACAAAGTAGCACATGACCCAGATGTGTGAACTGAACAGAGAAATGTCCTTTTCTTTCACTTCCTTTCTCTTCTTTTGGTAACAAGAACTAAATAAGGAATAGAAAAGCTGTTTTTCAGGCTGACAGTCTAATTAAAGAGGTAGATGGGACCTTGCATGGTATAGATTAGAAGTACTAGTGTCAGTGAGATACAGTGAGTCTTTGTGAGTCCTTGTGTCATCGTTTTGGGCACTGTTTTTTTATGCAAGGGCGAAATCTTTGTATCTGGGGGAAAAAAACAACTTTTTTAAATTAAAAAGGAAAATAAAAGATATTGAGGTCTTCCTAGTGTTACTTAAAATAAGATCAAGGTAAGAAACATTGTAAAAAAAAATAATTACAAAAGTGCTATTTGTTTCCTAAACAAGTGATTTCTATTAAAAAGGTGTCAGAACTGGAGAAAATGCTGTGTACTTAGAATTTTTTAACACAGACTTTGCTTATTTATGATGACATTCTGCTGTGTTTGTGTTTTAAAATCCAATGGGACAGTTTCCATAGATTGTACCATACATGCTACTGGCTGAACTTCAAAGAGAATCAAATCCTGCAGTGCTGGATCTCGCCCCACCTGGAGGATCTGCCAGGCTTGTCTCTGCTGTTACCGTATCTCCCCCATTCTTCCCTGTTCCCGTAACCCAGAAAAAGGCAATTGGCAGCGTGCTTGTTTAAGGCTTTTATAGTTTTGTGACTGATTAGAACTTGAGAATGAGAGACAGTGAATTGTTTGGGCTGAAACTGCCTTCGGTTATAGGCACTTGTTGAAGGAGTTCATCTCTTATGTAGAATCTTTTAACTCTCAATAGCAAAGCTTGGCTTGGGCTTCTTGTGACTTCGGGATCTGTCTCGGTTTAGAGTGCTGGTTCTGGCCACCTGGGGTTGTGTCCTGGAGCTGCCTAGTTTTGGCTACTGACATAAACGTTTGGGCAAAGCCCATTTCCACTGGAGGTACTGGGAGAACTCCTGTTGCTTCCAGTGGGAGCAGAGTTGAGCCACTGCACACAGCGCGAGGCAGAGTTCCCGGTGAGACGCCGGTGAGAGCACAGGTTGGATGGCAAGGCAGACCTGCTCGGCTGTTCCTAGTGGAATGCAGAAAAGCTTTGGATTTCAAGGATGCATTTCTGAGCGAGAAGTGAATACTCCAGACACTACATAGCCTGAGAGAGTCTCTTTGCTGCCAGGGCCAAGTATGCTTCTGCAGGACTCTTGGAGCTGTTTTCTTCCCTCTCCTTTATGTTGCCCTTCTGCCTTTTAAGGACTTTTATTCCTTCTGTAGGAGTGTGCACTATTTTCAGCTCTGAGCCCAGAACTGATATCCCGAGTTCTCACATTTGTCTGTAGTTGGGAAAGTGACTCTTAGGTGCACTTCGCAGCTGAACCACTGATAACCTTGGCTCTGTCTTTTGATTCTGGAACTAGTGGAGCTGGAAGGATAAGTTAGGACAAGTGGCAGGGAGACAGCTCACAGGCGATGTCAAAGCTGATCAAAATAAAAATGTCCTTGCATCAGCCCAGATACTGGTGGGGGTCATTACCATAGGGCAGCACTGGGCCAGCAACCCATAACATTTAAACGTAGGGCTGTGTATTTTGAGGGATGAAGAGAAAAAACCAAACTGAACGTGAACCTTCTTTGTTTAGAACACGAGCCAGCAGCCAACAGCCATATACTCAGGAGAAACTGCCTTTTTAGCCAGATTGTTCCCTGGTCGGCCACTTGGGTGATTTTTAACATCGTCTTCTGAAGCATCGAGTACGTTCCTGGTAAGAGAGAGTCTCTAGAGATAGATGTGCCGAGTCTTCATGGGTCTCATGTTCTTAGTTCTGCTGTTCTCTTCTGAGCTGTCTTGGAAGCACTGTGGTATTTGGGGTGTACCTTCAGGCAAGCTATGCCTGAATCTTTGATAGTCCTTCCGTTTTCTTTGCCAATTTGGGAGGCAATGGAAATGAAAATCACTAGTAGCCATATTTAAATCTGAGCCCAGTTAACCAGCCAGGAGATGTTAAAACAGCTATTACTGCTTTTCTGAGACATCTGCTTGTCTCTGGAATCCAAGCAGGTAGACTTTTATGTCCCCTTTGTTACAGCATTTCTGTTCCAGACTGTAAAAGGATGCCTTTAGTTAATCATTACCTGGCAGAGAAATTATCTTAACTTAGACTTTTTGTTACTGCTAGACAGTTTTCTCTCTCTCGCTCACTGATCCTGTTCGGATGCTTTCCCTCCTGTCTCTGCAGCAGTAGCAGTCGGTGGGCAAGGAGCATTCCCAGGGCTGCACTGACACCGGCAATGATGCTGCTCCCTAGACACAAATAAATTGGGGTTATCTCTGCCCAGCTAGAAACAATAGGGTGGAAGGGGAATTTGCATTTGCTAAATATGGAGGAAAATGGGTTTTCTTCTAGCTGTTTCGAGAGGTTGCAATCAAGGGAGATATTTCAACTCTGACAGCTTAACACTCAAGCTTGTCTTCTGGGTTTGGATTGGTTTGGGGTTTTTTCTCATGTGATATTTAAGATAGTGTGAGTATGGACTAAAATTTCTGCTCTTTGGGAAGCTCCATCCAGAAATGAACTAATTCTTATGTCATTGCTTGTCATTGGTGGGAAATAAGTGGCTTTTAAATCTCTTATAGAGAAGTAGATGAGACCAGAGAGGAAGCTTGTATCAGAGGCAGTCCTGGCTTTCAGCCCAGTGCTGAGGGCTTTATGAAGTCACCCTGCTTCTTTGCTCAGAAACAGAGTCAGTGTTGCAGAAGCAGTTTTTTTCTCTTCTCCTTGCAATCTGTTCTTTAAACAGCTAGAAAGGTGTGTTGTGGTCAGAGTGGGAAGGTGAGTGTGTGACCTGGCTAGAAGAATTAGTATTATCATTAGTGTTCTCTGTATCTTCACTTAGAGCCAGCCGTGGGCTTAGTGCTGTACAAGACATGGTAAAGGCAGTACTTGAAGAGATGGTTGGCAAGTAGGGTGAGTAGCATGGGTGATTCTTGGAGGATATCCTTAGCCAGGAGCTGGTAGGACAAACTGATGGTTTGCGTGAGCAAAACAAGGACTTCGTTGCAAGCAAGTTTCTGTTGCGTGCAACGGAACGATATGAATTAAAATATAAATTAAAAACTGCGAACCTAGAAATCAAAGAGGTGATTTGTTGGTTTTGTCATTGGCAGGAAAAACAATATTGTATTTTGTCCTTCCTAGCTGACCAAGCTTAAGAAAGGGAATCTGTATTCCAGCTGTCTAGAAATGTGAACCCCGATTCTGACCTCTTTGGCTTCAAATCATCTTCTTCTCTGTACTGTTGCAGAGACAGCCCTGAAAAGCATCATGATCAGCATTCAGGAGGACCCAGAGTGAAATCTCCCTCTTAGCCCCACCAAGCTGTGGCAGCCTGCAATACAGGGAGTAAACTCTGGAATCTCCTTCCCATGTGAATACGGTGGAAAATATTTGTGAATTTGCAGTGCACATGTTTCTCTTTCTTTTTTTCCCCAGCTGGGTGGCACCCTGCCCTCTGTGCTTCTGAAGCACTAATGACGAATACATGTTTTTTAATGCAACATGTTTTTAAAAGATCATACTCATAAGTTAAAGGAAAATTCACTCTTTTACTGAGGGCCTCTCTGAGTGAGCGGCTCAGATAACCACTGAAATATCAATATCACACTTCCCTGTGGACCATGCCCCTTTGGGCAGTTTGTTGTGTCTTTTCAGCACTGTTTTGACCCCTCTTCACCTCCATTTGTCCTCCCTTGGGATTCTGAAGATCCAGAGCAAGTTCAGCCTTGCTGGATTACTGCAGAGAGTTTTTCTGCCAAGTGTGTAGAAGAAGAGTCAGGAACCTGGAGGAAGAGGAAGATGTTTTGTCGTGCAGCTCATTCATTTGGCGCTTGCCTGGCCAACAAACTACCTCAGCAAAGGCCATTCCCAAGCACTATGTGTGGATTCTCTAGTTTCTGGCATTCAGAAGGCAAAAGGGTCTCCGAAGAACTCTTCCAACAGCCAGCTAGGTACTGGTCTCTGAGGGCACGCGAGCGAGCCTCGCAGTGACATGCTGTTGGATCCTTGTGTTCAGGGGTCAGGCATGGACCGGGGTATGCCCTAAATACCAGGTGGGATCAGGAAAACACAAGAGCTGCAGACATCTTGTCTCCAGGTTATTGCTGTCTTACTCAGATCCTTCTTTAAGCCTCAGTCCTGTTTGTAACACCTACAGAATGGAATGTAATACTTGAAAAATATGACTCTATCCTTTACCTTTAGCTCCCATTTCCCCCATGTTTATCTTTTATTCTGGGACAAGAACTTTCTGCATCATTGTGTCTTGTATAGGCTGAGCACATAGTTGAAACTTGCCAATAAAGAAAATTATTTATACCATGCACTGGTAAGCTTGGTAATTACAGACCCATGAAAAGACAAATACCTCTCCGAGAGGTTAATTTGAGATGTGGGCTTGTTTGAGAAAACCAAGACTTTACCTGTGTGAGGGTCTGTCTCTACCCCCTGTCAGTATTACTAAACTACCTGAGTAGTGAATGGAAAAGAGTCTTGCTGAGAGCATCGGTGCTGTGAAAATCACTGTGCTGGGCAAGTCCCTGGAGGGTATCACATGAGAAGAGCCAGCCCAGGGCTTCTCATCTGACCAGGCCAGAGGTGAGTGCTGCAGGGACAAAGGGGAGAAACCTCTCTAGAGAAGCGAGGGCAGTGAGGAGAGGGACAGGGCTGGAGACAGGAGAAGGGAAGAGAGAAAGCGGGAGGAGCAAAGGAAATTAAGATCACGTGGGGTAAAGCAGAGCAGAGAGAAAGAATGGAGAGATGAGAAGGAAAGTGAGAGTGGGAAAAATCCAGGAGTGAAATAGGGCTCCATTGTGAGGAGACAGGTATTCCTGCAGTTACAGGGTTTGAAAGTTCAATCGAAAGATGAAAACAAAAAGGCTCTTTATCCTGCCTCGCGTTCTGACTTGAGTTGTATTCCAGAAGGACCAAGTGCAGTGAGAGGAAAGAGCTGCTCAGCTGCAGATGGCAAAGGAACCAGGCACTAAGTCATCCCTAGCTCTGCTTCTGCTGGGAAGTGATCCTATCCTGACAAGGAGCCTTTCTTGTCTTCTATGCTGCAACATGAGATAAGGCAGAGCATGCAGACCTCGGCGCAGCCAGAGCCTGCTCTAATCTGGACCTCCTTAATTAAAAATGTACTTGGCTAGGAATATTTCCAAGACTAGCTGAAGGTTCAGTTCTGCTGGTGTGGTTGCACCTTTCTAGTTCAGATGTCGTGATCAGCCTAGCTGAAACCTGTATCAGCTTCCAGAGGTGTCCTGGGTCCCAAGGGAGCAGAGGAGGTGATGCTGGGCAGGACCTGTGACTCGGGTACTTCTCAGCCACCTCTTGGAGTATCTGCAAGATT